CCTGCTGGTTCGACAACTGCCGAACGGGCCGGTGTGCGCATGTGCACACTGCCCGTTTGCAGTCATCGTAAGCCTGCCCCTCATTACAGTCATCGTAAGCCCGCCCCTCAGGGGGGCGGGCTTGCAATGATCGAGAGTACGATCTGCCTGTCCAAGATGGGCAGATCGTATGTTTTTTTTAAGTACTTAACAACCATGGCAAGACTAAGGTCTTGCCATGGTTGTAAAGTGTACGGCCACCTTTACTCGCCGAGAATCGTACGATTCCCGGCGGGTTTTCTAGCATGCTGGTTCGACGGAAGACGTGCGTCCGTACAGTAGAAACGGTCGCACGCCTTCCATACACTGCACGATTCTCGTACGATCGCGGGTTTCCCCGCAATTCTCGTACGAGAATCGTGCAGTGTATGGGCACCTTTAGGTTACACTTCCTAATGTATGAGTTGCGGTAAGGCAGTCCATTTATTTTGACTGGGCTGGCAATATACTGAAAAGCAGGTTTTAAAATACTGACAGCATTTTTTTTATCAGTACAGGTGGTTCACATGCATTATCCTACACTGGCTAGATGCACCTGCGGTGAGCACAAGCGGTAGATGGAGCAATGGGAATTTCTCTTGTATTTGAACACATTTATTGAGATGATGGTTTTCTTACATATACTGTGCAGACAGTTTAAAACACAAATACGTGAGGTTTTCTCTATATGTAAAGATTAAGAGGAAAATACACATTAATAAATATTAGAAATAACAAGCTCACATCTAGGTAATCCATTGATTCTGTTAAATGTATGTTCAGCAAATCCTACCCATAATGAATGTGCTTTATCTTTTTACTTTACAACATTCAACATCAAGGTTCATTGTTGCCACAGCTATAAAATGGCAGTGATTCTGACATTTTGGATGCTACAGCAGTTAGTGCTGGTTGACGGTGAGGCCATTATGCTTATTTGCCTCTTCCAAGGTATGTATGGAGAATAATCAAAGAAGGGAACCAGCGAATTCAGCTCACAGCTGAACCTTTGTAGGATGGAGGGTGGGGTGAAGATCTCCCCAACAGTGTCACAAATAGCAATATATATTTAAGAGGGGATCAGCCCTTCCTCACCCTACGTGAAACAAAGAAAAACGTCTTCTGTGGGATTTCTACTTTATATATTTTGCCAAAATGACATTACAGCTTGGGTAGTTTAGGCATGTTTGTATTGTTGAAAACAGGATAAAAGTTGGAATTGTTTATTTAAGAAACGAAGGTTAACGAAGGACAATGAACATCAGGGATTGATCAATATGTCCACAGTTACAGGTTTCAAAGGTTGCTTCAGTGAGAAGTGTAGCTGAGGCAGTGAGTTTTGTTTTGTGTTGCCCTTTGGTGACTAGGTGAAGGATCAGTCCTCTTAAGCAAGGAGGAAGAGTCAGTTAGATAATGAATGAATGCTACCACTGTTTTCCAAGGGTTTGCAGTGCCAGGGGTTCAGAGCAGATACACGGTTAGACTCTAGAAGTACGTTTGACTTAGTCATCGATTTCACTGCCTCAACGATTACAGACTGCAGTGACAAAAAAAATTAGAAGGAGCGTGTTGGAAAATCTTTCTCAATCAAACGTGAATGTGGTTTTCATTAGGAAAACTCCACTTATTCCAAAAGCGAATGTTAAATGTTTTTTTTCTTGCTCCTTGTGGTGAAGGAGTGAAGAGGAAGTAAAGGGAAGGTAGCGTTAGATGCTTTTGGTAACGGCTTACCTGCTGCTTTGCTCTGCATCCACAGATTCACATTAATTTAAAGGCAAATTCCAGCTGGCTTCTTTCAGCTAGGGATGCACCGATACCAAGTACAGTACTCGGTACAAGTACAGATACTTTTGAGCTCCAAGACTAGACTAGAGAGAAATTCAAAAGTTAGGAGGCAGCTGTCATTTGTAAGGAGCACACAGAGCTCCTGGGATTTGTACATCTCTGTTTTAATGTACGATTTTGTTTTTATAGATTTAAATAAAGGGATGCACAGATACCAGTTTTGCGAGTACAAGTACTGATACTTGCCCTAGTACTTACAAGTACGAGTACTGATACATTTTTGTTTATTGCCATGTGACAGTTTTTCTAAAACAATATCGACTAATGATTTCAGGACAGTGGTGGAGTGCCAGAGCCCGGTGCCAGCTGCAACCCTGGTAGTTCTCATGAAAATGCCAAGTATCGGCATTGGAACTCAGAAAGTATCGGTGCATCCCTACTTCCAGCCAATGCAGAAGTGCCCAAACTGGAACTTCTATAAATGCATATTTATTCTATCACAGGGCTGGATAAATCCCAGGAAGCCAGTGCTCCTTAAAAATTACAGCTGGCATCTATCATTTGAGGTTTTCTCTAATTGTTGTCAAAGGAGCTCAAACAAATATTGGCTCCTGGATTGGACAGACTGGCTCCTGAATTACACATTTGTTTGTGCACCCCTGTTCTCTCACCTCGAACCTCTCAAAAGTTCAAATATTTGGGATTCCGGGTCTATATTACTCTAACTCAGACTCCATCCATTTGCTTACATTTCTTGTGCATGGTGGCGGGCAGCTTGAACTCAAGCTCAGATTTCAAACATATTAGCTTATGTTTCCTGAGTTAATGGCAGGGCATGCTGGGACTAGTTTGGTGCTGCAGTTTTGTATTAGGTTGCTGGTCTGGTTTATTGCTCCCCATAGACTGCATTGCTGGAGGAGCAGGTTCATGTGTGACATTTTTCTCAGCAATTGGATATGACCGAGAGAGACTTTGTTGTGCAGAATGCGGAATTCCTGGGCCCTAGCCATCAGTGCATTTACACAAAGGGTGCTAAGGTTTTTGAAGGTAAAGTGTATGTACACTTTTAATAACAAAGTCTCATATTAACTCCCTTTTAGTCTGTTAAATATGCATTTTGGTATATTTGTTCTTTATGTGTCCATTTGATCTTTTTAATCAGTGGCGTAGTGGTTAGCACTTCTGCCTTGCAGCACTAAGGGTCCCTGGTTCAAATCCCAGACAAGGAGTTTGCATGTTCTCTCTGTGCTTGTGTGGGGTACTGAGTACTCCGGATTCCTCCCACACTCCAAAGACAGGCTGGAAGGTTAATTGGCTCCTCTCTAAATTGGCCATCATACAGTATGTATGCATTGGAGATAGGAACCTTAGACTGTAAGCTCCTTGAGGACAGTGTCTGATGTGAATGTGCACTATGTAAAGCGCTGCGTAAATTGTTGGCGCTGTATTAATACATGTAGTAATAAATAATCAAGCCCTCCCCTGTTGTTCCTCGGCTATAAACACCTCTCCACTATTTTGTTAAGAATAGGATAAGAGGGAGATGTTGTTTAGTTTAGCAAAATACAGCTGGATGGGCTGACACCATTCCTTGAAATTTAAGTCCAGAAAAGACTGAGGGGAATTTATCAGAACTGGAGCAGACAAAATCTGGAGCAGCTGTGCATGGCAACCAATCAGAATCTCTCTTTAATTTTCAAATCTTAACTGACCAAACTGAAGAGAGAAGCTGATTGGTTGCCATGGACAATTGCTCTAGATTCTGTCTGCTCCAGTTTTGATAAATTCCCCCTGTGTGTTATCAGCCCATAAAAGGAATTAGGAGTTGAGTGCATTTCTGCAAGGAGCAACGGGTATTTGTCTGTACTTGCACAGTCTTTGAAAGGATAAAATACAGGGAAATGTGCATGTGTGGCAGAGATGCATTGCATTTTTTTGCCCTTGCATAGGGGTTGATATACTTAAGGCAAATAGGTTGTTCACTTTCCACGGGAATTTCCCCTTCGCTTTATGAATGAGGAGAAGCTCTGCTGACTTCCATCATCCAGTCATGTGCAAGCAAAAGTACTGTTTTTTTTTTTTCCTTGCACATGATTTGGGTCAGATGTGCCGGATTTATTGCTTGAATTACGTGTCGTATTGAACACCTGGTTTGTTTGTTTTTTTGTATTCACAGGAAAAAACTGCTTTTTTTTTTTTTTTTTTTTTACTTCTGTAATCTTATACTTTGTTTTCTTACAGGCTCCAGCATGGGCATTTCTGTCTTGTGCCATTGGTCTGTTTGTTTACCAGTCACTGGATGCCATTGATGGGAAACAAGCTCGAAGAACAAACAGTAGTTCCCCATTAGGGGAGCTATTTGACCATGGATGTGACTCTATATCTATAGGTAAGGTAATGTTCTCCTGTGGTGGTTTTAAAGGCGAAGTTTAAGTTTTATAACTCGTTTCATGTTACACCCGTATTCAGTATGTAATATAAAACGTGGTGATGTCACAGCACTTGTAGTCCATTCATTCTTCCTCTCAGTCCCTGTTAATGAATGTTCATACCTCCATTTTGGACAGGAATGGGATGGAGAATTAACAGGAGGCAGAGCACTGTACCCGCGATCTCGGTTGCAATTCTTTGCAGGCTACAATGCAAAAACATTTTATAAATATGTGTGCATTTATATATTTTTTCCTCTAAAGGTGGACTTTATTTACATTTAACATATTGTTTTTTTTTTAAACCTCCCTTTATTTGTTAATTAGGCTAAGATGTAAGGCCCCTTTCACACGTGCGGTCTGATCAGATCCGACTGTTCGTTTTTCAAGCGGACCTGATCGGAATCCCAATGCGGAATCCCTCTTGGCAGTCGAGTCTAAACAGACAGACCTGATCGTGACAGATCAGGGGGTAATTTAATGTAAACAGACACGTCTCGGGGTGTGGAAATAAAAAAAAAAAAAAAACCTACTTGTCCAAGCGGGGGCCCAATCTACTTGTCCCTCATAATGATCTACTTGTCCTAATGCAAAAAATAATTTTAACCAAAACCGTATTTAACCATGCTAAGAAGCGCTTCTCATTTGTCAGTGCGGTCAGGTGACTGTGCTGTCCAGCGAGTGCTCTGGAGTTGTAAAAAAAATAATCTAAATCCATGGCACAGGGCTGTACTGGACGGCAATCCCAGGAGTCAGGTAGCCAATGCTCCCTGAAAACGACAGCAAGCACCTAACTTTTCTCTAATTGTTATCAATGACTCCTAAAAAAATAAAAAATCCTGCTGGCTCGTGGATTGGTCAGACTGGCTTTTAAATTCTTTTTAATTTTTCCACTACTGATATATGTGTTGTTAATACTTCTAAATATAAATCTCACTGATATAATAGAGTGAATTTAGCAGTATGTGTATATATAAAGATTACAGGCCTCTCTCATCTTTTTAAGTGGGAGAACTTGCACAATTGGTGGCTGACTAAATACTTTTTTGCCCCACTGTATTTAGACACCAGCTTTCATTTAATAACATTGTTAAAGGATAAGTTCACCTTTTGCAAAAATTAAAGAAATGCATAATTAATAATATATTTAAAATATGCATTTCTTTAATATTTGCATTCAAGCCTGGAACGCATTGCAATGGTGATTACTTGATCACAGCTGCAAAGCTCAGGCTTCTCCACATTCTCTCCCAGGCAGAGCTCTTACAGAGGTACGGAGTTTCAGTTAGCAGAGATCGGGGGAAGGACCCCTCCCTCTAGGTAGATGCGGGAATATGGGCAGCTCTACCTAGAACAAGGACGGCTGGATGCCGTATGAGGTAATTTCTTGCAGTTTGAAGTCCAGCCGTCCTTCCTCATCTCTCCTAACTGAAACTCAGTACCTCAGTACAGAGCTCTGTCCGGGAGAGACTGTGCAGAAGCCTGAGCTTTGCAGATGTGATCGAGTGATCACAGTTGCAATGCTTTCAAGGCTTGAATGCAAATAATAAAGAAATGCATTTAAAAAAAATATATTATTAATTATGCATTTCTTAAATTTTTGCAGAAGGTGAACTTATCCTTTTAAAAGAGCAGTTGGGCAGTAATCCTTAGCATCTAGGATCATTATTCATTTTGCAGCCTAGTACCATTGGTAAGCTGCTCTGCATTTGGTACAACTATTTCTCGGCTTGTATAATCCTTGTGTTGAGTGTATCATTTCTCAATAACACACAATCGTTCCTACTTAAAGTTTTATTTTTGTTTCTATCATGTGTTGGTGGTTGTTTCTCAATGTATAGGAAATTATGGACACCGGCACTCCAAAGTAGAAAAACGTCTTTTATTGACGTGTCATGCAACAGTACACTTATTGCAACGTTTCGGGGTCACACAGGATCCCCTTCATCAGGCAGAACTTGTTGTGCCTGATGAAGGGGATCCTGTGTGACCCTGAAACGTTGCAATAAGTGTACTGTTGCAATGCACGTCAATAAAAGACGTTTTTCTACTTTGGAGTGTCGCTGTCCATAATTTCCTATACTCTATTCAGACGGTGGCCATCCGTCGACTACTGATGCACCCAACCAATCATTACGGACTAAGCGGTAAGGAGTGCAATGGGTACACTGACTGTTACTGTTTCTCAATGTAACCGCTTTTTATTTCCCTGTGCAGTGTTTGTTGCAGTGGGGACAGTTGCTGCGGTACGGCTTGGAACAATGCCCAGCTGGATGTTTTACTGCTGCTTTGTCAGCATGTTCATGTTTTTTTGCGCCCAATGGCAAACCTATGTGTCAGGTACTCTGAGGTTTGGAATGTAAGTAGTTTGTTTTGTATGATTTTACTTTTCATCCTAATGTACAGTCTGTTAACTGTGTAAAGTGCTCATGCCAATTAAGCATTAAGAATTTGTTACCTAGTGTGATTTAGAGATAACAATAAAGTCTAATAAATATGTAATTCCCTTTTCTTTGAAGGGGGAATAAGAATTACTTACATATGGTGCTTGACCTACTTATTTTGGAAAAATATAAACAGTTTGGAAAAGAATATAGTATCTCAATATATAAAGAATACCAAAAGTAAAAAACATAACTTAGGATGGAGTATGGAATGGTAAAAATCCATCAGTTTTTTTTCTTCCATCTGTGCTCATTGGGGAAGAATATGCATCACTTCCTGTTCTGTAGACCAAACAGGAAGTAAGAGAAAATCCCTCCAAAATGAGGAAAAGGTCACACATGGGAACAAGTATTAGAGGAACAAGTTGTCATGGGGAAAAACATGCCTATTGGAAGATTTATATTCCTTTTCTGGTGACAACTTTAGGAAGGATTACACGCTCGGATATGGTCTCGTTATGCTTGTTAAATGCTCGTTATGGTCTTGGGGTTGGAGTCTCTCCCCCTCTGCTCCAGCTGTAGTATGTATGTCCCTCAGTGCCGTCACGTCTAATGCAAGTCAATGGACCTGCATTGGTTGTGATGATGGGAGAACAGGCTGTGGGGGTCTAGCAGCTAGGTGGGACCGAAGATCAGGTAAGTATATCTTCGTTATTTGAGCCCCTAGACCTAAACAACACTTAACCCTTGCAGTGCGAAGGTAGCCCCACTGCAGGGATTCGTTTTGTAATTCCTGGAGTATCTCTTTAAGGACAAACTGAGAGCCGCAATCTCCCTTATGGGGACACAGACAGCATCTACAAACTGACAAGTATTCTAACCCCTCATCACTCTATCGAAAATTAAAATGAATGTTGTGGCTTTAGATATACTTAAGGAGGCCTATATTTTCAGAAAGCTCTTTTTCATGAATGCACTACATCAGAAGGGATAGGGACCAAATAGCACATTATTTTCACTGGATTCACATCATCTTTGCCACTGTTGAGTTACTGGTTATAAAATCAAACATCAATGGTGGGAATTTATCAAAACTGGAGCAGACAGATTCTGGAGCAGTTGCCCATAGCAGCCAATCAGCATCTCTTTCGTTTGTTCAGTTAAGATTTGAAAATTAAATAGAGAAGCTAATTGGTTGCAGTGCACAGCTGCTACAGATTTTGTCTGCCCCTGTTTTGTTAAATTCCCCTCAATACCTTTTTAATGCTTAATGTATGAGTGTACTTTAAAAAAAAAATAGAACATCCCTGTGATAAGCATTGTATGTGTTGTGCAATTGTAAAAGGGGTGAATACTGTTGTACCCTCATATTGTACTGAAATATTGTACCCTCGCCTGCACCTATCGTACATGAAAATCCCTGACAGGCAGGGCAGTGCATAGGATAGGTATCTGTATAGAGGTTCTGCTTCTGGCCATTTGCTTAGCTCTTAGTTTTTTTAGTTAGGGAATTTTGAGTAAATAGTGGAGTAGAAATTCACCCCAGTGGGCCTAAAGGGAATCTTTATTTCATATGTTTAGTACTAAGATATAAAATATTTTTAAACTGTATTTAGGCAGGTAAATATTAAATATGGCCAACTTTCAGTTGGTAGGTTGAGAGCATTGAAAACAGCAGCTCTTTCAAAGCTCACATAGGAGTTGTTGACCTAAGCATAGATCAGAGTAACAGCCTCTTTCTTCTCTCTTTGCAGAGAGTGAAACATCTTAATTGGGCAGTCTAAAGGTGCCCATACACTGCACGATTCTCGTACGAGAATCGCGGGAAATCCCGCGATCGTACGAGAATCGTTCAGTGTATAGAAGGCGTGCGACCGTTTCTACTGTAGGGTCGCACGTCTTCCGTCGAACCAGCATGCTAGAAACCCCGCCGGGAATCGTATGATTCTCGGTGAGTTAGTGGCCTGCTGGTTCGACAACTGACGAACGGGCCGGTGCGCACACTGCCCGTTTGCAGTCATCGTAAGCCCGCCCCTCATTACAGTCATTGTAAGCCCGCCCCTCAGGGGGGCGGGCTTGCGATGATCGCAAGTACGATCTGCCTGTCCAAGATGGGCAGATCGTACGTTTTTTTAATTACTTTACAACCATCGCAAGACTAAGGTCTTGCGATGGTTGTAAAGTGTATAAGCACCTTTTAAGGGGTGGTGGAAACACATGCTAGTAGTTTCCTATTAGGAAGCCCAGCATGCTTTGCAGCTGTGTGTCATGTATGTAGGTTGTAATCAATATTTTTATTATTATTATA